ATTCGAATTTCATATAGACTCCCAATCGTTCTCCTTCGACCTTTAATTACTTAGACATTTCGCGAGTTCACATACCAACCCAAGCCCAGGCTTTTGCACGACATACTTGTTAATAAAACTTAGGGATTGGGGTTGAAATTTTGTATTCAGCAACAAGTACTTGACGACAAGACGCTGAAATGAAGCTGGCGTGCATATTCTGACCAAAGCCACGAAAATTGACAAACACTATTTGGTAATCACACCCCCACCTTATGCCAAATCGATCAACAGATTCTGAGCTTTGACATGCAATAAAAAAACTTAATGGAAGAGACAGCTAATTAACTAAACATTCAAAACAGCTACATGCAATTAATTAAAATAGAGCAATGTCATCAAAAGTTCGGAGTGCTAAAAACATGAATTTCCATCACAAACAAGAATTCGAAAACAATTAAAAACTAAATAAATCGTTTTTTATGCGCCAATTAGTGCGAAAACAACCATGTTAGAATATGTCGATGATCAAGATTAGATAATTACTTGTAAGGTAATCCTGGAAGTTTAGCCATGATTCTAAAACAGTACTGAGAGCTCAGCCTTCATTTAATGAACATGCCAATGTATGTGAGTTAAATTCTTTTAATATACGAAACACAACGAGGGGTAGTGAGACAGAAAAGTGCTCTTTAATTTTTAAGATGTATGTGCCCCCCCCCCCCCCCCCCCCCCCCCCCCCAACACTCAAACTCCTAAAGCTCTGTCTATAGAGTAGGCATATTTCTTCCAAAAAGATGAAAGCAAAACGCTCCTACCACTCTCAGTCGACCCAAAAATTCCAAGGAAACGGACGCATTCAAAAGTCTCAAAGACATCGATATTGCAATCACAGCTTAAGTCGCATGGAAATCAAGATATTTACTAACAAAACCTTTAAATATCATCATCCCTACCGCGAAGCCATGGAAACTCAAAGGAAGATGACTATAACGGCTAATACTGAATAGGACACGAATATTGAAAGAAATGGCATTTATATTCCTAGCTTGACCCTTTAACAGCCTGCAGAACCGTACGGTCCTGATTCAAAATAAGCTCCATTGGTACGAGACTCGTAACAGAAGGCGCTATTGAAGTTGGAAACATGTTCAATAGGTCTACAGCTTACGACTAATACCACCAAAACCCATCATGTCGGCGGCATCAGTCTGCTATGAGACACATGTGAGTGCGGTTCCGTGCAATTTCCAATCCCACTTCTATTGGTCAGAAACACAAAAATTACCCAAATCCCCTCCCCTCTAGTAAAACACACGGAATGCCAAAATAGGGTTAAAACAATATTTCAATATATTTCCAAATAACATTTAAGCGGGTAAAACAACATTTTTTTGAGTATAAGAGCCATCGTCAATCACATTTATTCAGAGAGGGTCCAAATAGAGCAAACACATTCCGATTTCACAATTGTTCTCCGAATTACCATTCTCCCTCATAGCGCATTTTGGATCTACGCATGAATACGTCGAAATGTAGTTATTTCAGTAGCCTATAGATCAACTTGACTGGCATAAAAAGAGGTAGTAATCATAAAACTATAAACTACCTTTTGATTTCAGGAGAAGTACTAAAACATAACACGCCGATTCAGTAAATGAAACGAAGTCTCTGAATTAAGCATTTATTCGTAGACAGCAGAACACTACGAAATGATACTCTTTAAACTTCCATAATTTAACGAAAGATCACTGGAAATAAGTTGCAAGACTTTGCTAAGTGGGTGGGGGGAGGGTTCAAAACTCAGTTCACAGATCGTATTAACCTTTCGCTTTTAAATCACTGACCAATAAACTATTCAAAATTCTAATGATCAGAATATGATACAAGACTACATTTTCTAAACAAACTAAGATTTCGAATTAACTATAATGAGGACTAGATGAGCATGATTAATCTGAACGATTTATGAAGTAACATCAACCTGGATCCCCCACCTAATACAAAAACCCACCGATGAGTGGATTTCGATCAACGTTTCATTAGTTTAGGGCCACTAACTAACCTGGAACACAACTTATAGCAAGAAAACAAATTTAAGCGAAAGCCCATTCAACTTCACAAAGTAAGCTCTTTTAATTATCATGACGAACCTGCTACTAGATGGTAATGTGCTAAAGTAAAAGGTAAAAAGATAGTTTCAGTGGACTCAAAGTAAAAACCGGAAGAGGTAGATCAATAATTCTAACCTTCCATTCAAAGATGATTCGCTAAAATCAAATATTATAACAGTTGAATACACACCAAAACAAATTTAACTGAAAAGATTACTCCAACACAGTGAGGTTTTTTCAATCTTACAAGGACAGATACTTCATACAACTACTACTAACCTTTTTGTGGGTACGGGTTTGCTAAAGTATACAAATTTGCGTTAAAATACTGCATATTCACAAAAACAAAAGCTCATATATTAGACATTCAAAATAGATAAAAACACATCACAACACGCAAAGACCGACTACCCTAACCTTCCATTCCTCGGTGATTTACTAAAATCGAACAAGATGTTTGAATAGAAAATGAAACAAAAAACGGATTTATCGAGCATATGAGAGCACAGAGGTGTAAAATAAAGCGATAACGGAGTTAATCTCCTATTCGAAGAAAAAAAGTGTTTAAGCGCAGCACATAGCTAATCATAGATGCGCGCTACCTACTTTCCACACAGTAATTTTTCACTGAAGGTCGCATAAATATGACCTTATAAAGTTCTCATTTTAATCAAGTAGAAAAAGAAAGCTTAATAGCGCGAAGCATCAGGAGAATATCTAACCCTCCGATTGTTAAAACCTTGCTGGAAAAATGTCATCAAATATTTACTACGATTGAATTTCGGATTTCATTTAAACTATAGCGTCATCATCCTTCATCCTCTTTCCACATTAATAGATAAACTTAAAAGTAATCGATAGCTAAACATTCAGAGCAAAAGCATTCGAGAGCATGAATATTGAAGTATTAATAATCCTCAGTCTTGATCAACTATAATTCAACGGCGTCTTTTATTGCCTGACTTGAATTCACGCTTAAGTCCTTAATCATTTTAGAAAATGAAACAAACCCTCTAGAAATTAATAGAACTTTTTAAAATTCAAAGCTTCGCAGGTCTGGGCAGCAGAGAAAGTGTAGTCATGTGTGCTAAATTAAGGACAAGGATATAAACATTTCCCAAACACACACGTCTCTTCACCCGAATAGACAACTTAAATAGCATTAACTATAACGATTTGTCAATGAATGCAGACGCATGTCGATGAGGCAGCGACTGTCATAGGCTGAAAACAAAGGGACTTATTTATATTTTTTCAGCTACCGGAGATTTGAAAAGCTTAACTGCCTAGGCATAGATGGCAATTCTACACACCCATGAAAATGAGAGTAGATGATCCATGTTAATTTGAGTAAAATTAGAAAAAAGTCATTTCAAATCTATCTAAAGCTATTCCACTGTAAGTACAAACATTTTATCTGGAGGAGATTCACTAAACAGAGCACAGTTCTGTCGTTCGACTTCAACAAGACGTGGTAATTGTAATAATTTTGGTATAAAACAGCATATGGTTACACTGCAATTGCCAGTCTTTTCAAGGTCAATGCCTAGTGAGACTAATTTTGCTGTTCAAAGCACGTGTAGCGCAATATATTCACTGAACACAAGATGTTCCAGTAAAATCATTACAGCTATAAAATTGGAAGCAGATATAAATTGTCGTTGTTTAGAAAAGCTTTATAAGAACAAAAAACTATTTCTGACCTCATGTTACGAATGGTGAAAGCTTCTCAACCGGTCTCACGCCAAGCAAAGTCATTGAAATGCAACTAATTTGACTTCAATCATTAAATTCTCATAAAAGAGCCCGGTTCAATAGTGAGAATGCGCCCAAAATATTACCAAAAGCAGATTTTTCTACAGAAACATCCAACACTCCATTCATGGATTACCCCACCCCGGAATCCAAAATAGAGCCACCAGGTGCGCACAAAAAACCACTTATACATTACTGTTGGGGCAATACAAACTTCCCATACCTACGATTTAAATTGAGATGCATAGAAAGAACTGGAAATTTTAATATAATTAAAAACAATATGAGAAAACTTTGGAGACGCCCTGTAAATAATTGGAAACATTACAAAAATGAGATGCAAATAGAGCAGATGTAGATGCTACTTATAAGCAATAGTGTTTTTGTTCTATTTCAACCTAACTAAAACAAAATTTTGCAAACAAAGCAAGAATTTAATTTCAGAGCATAGCTAACCATTTTATTCGGCGTAAACTGAAATATATTCAAAAAAGAGGTTTAATTCAAGGGTTGATAGAACAACCCTTTTGCTAAAGGAAACAAAAGAATCACTGTTTGTTTTAAATACAACCATCCCGTCTAATATAGTACTGCTCTTGAACATATATTCAGTCACTTGTGACCCTTTTAGAAACTTCAATCTTCGCCTAAATCCTATCCATCATCCCAAATCATTGGGCAAGGGTGAATTAATTTACATTTCTTTTATTCGATATCCCTTAACAACGAAATCAACTGGTTACAGCTATTGTAATTGCTACATAACATTTAACCCAGCGAGAACTGAAGTTAGTAAAACGAGTATAAGTATTTTCAACCAAAACTGTAGGATTTCGTATCGCATATTTCGATCTGCGATCGAGTAATTAAAAGAAAGTGATTCAAGATATTAGCGAAAGTGAACCGCTCAATGTCAAATGCATGTGGTCACGTATCCTCCATACCCTGCACACGCGAAAGCTAAAGATCCGTTAGTCCCATTAACGGTTACAAAATCAACGGGTGTTTTAAACATCAAGAAGTCTCAGTGGATGAAAAGCTTACGTCAAGGACACTCGAAGGCATAAAAAAGGCAGAGGCAATATTGACCACTTGTTTACTACCCAACTCTCAATTATAAAATAAATCAACTATGATAAGAGAAATGATCTCTCACCGACTAGCTGGGTCTGGAGAATTATTTCCTGATCCATTTGTATGTGAAGGTAGATTATGTGCATTGAGTATTCGTTGAACCAGGGCGCCCCTTGGAAATAAGAGAAAAACGGATTATTGAAACTCCCATATATAGAGAAAAAAGCTGTTTAAAAGGGTGTAGGTACTCACTTGCAAAAAACTGAGTGGGGAGCGAATTCGCCATTCAATCTGGTGCGAATGCAGCCCAATAGGTCATTTATTGATCCTTTTGAATCGGTACTGACGATTTCTGTTCAAAGAATAAATGAAGGCAATTATATTGAAGTATACAAACACAGACATTACGCTGTTTTCCTTCCAGAGCATAAAACACCTAATCAGCATGGGACCACATCTGTTGGAATATTCAGCTGCTATGGTAACTACAGCATGTGCACAAAGCAATCAAAACTGTTAAATACTCAAACTACATTCTTAAAATACTCCTGGAAACGACAAGAGAGCAATAGAGACTAAAGTTCATTTAGAGCACCACTTTATTTCGGTCTCTCTCTTCTAATAATTAGGGATTTTCAGAATTGAAATTGTGTGCTTTAATTGGAACAAGTATAAATTTACTGACCGTCACTATCTGACAAGAATGTCGAATGTGAACAATTATTATTGGCTTCCAGCTCGATTAATTAGTCCGCTATTTATTTAAAATTAATACTGATTACTAATTGTAAAAACACACTTGCATGATTTATTAATATCATGCTATCAACGCAATTCTGTTAGCTGCGAATCTTATTAGATTACAGAAAATTTGACGAGACCAACTCTCAGCTCCAATTCACCTTATTAAAACTGTTACGTCTCGAGCTTGATTGCCTTCCTTTAACTGCTAAAGAAGTGTTAAGAAAAGGTATAAATACAAATGCGAATTTGATCCCAAACACTAGTCATCCTTAGGGGTCCTTGAAATGTATAAGCTATTACGGCAGATTCTCAACTTAGAGCTGTTTGTGCAATACCTTTGTGACTACATTGCAACAAGGTACAATTCAATCTGCATAGTACATTAAACTCATTGGCATAGTAACGAGAGAAATATCTTACCACAACGCACTCTATCTCATGCACACTTATTCATCAAGGCGTGAATTCCCCCTATTTTAACCACACTAAAGGACAGGAACTGTAAACGGAGGTGAAAGGAATACTTTTCAATGCTCATTCTCAGCTCTAATACGAAGGGCACGCGACCCCACCGGGAACAGTACGCGAGCAAGGGGCCATACTGCCGTTGTTGAGATGTATAGCTAAGAGCAATGCATAAAATATTTAATCCCTCTGCCTCCATTCGTTTAAGATACACATTGCCTTTTCACGTACGAGAAGAACGCGCATGCATGCCTGGAGTGCCAGACATGTATTCATGGCCACGTTAAAATTACTAGGCAAAAGAAGTGCTTGTTTATAACGAGGTTATGCTGACGATTAGTCACTACCGATGGCAATACATGAATTGCATATCCAATTGTTCCCTTCTACCCTTGTATTCCAATGTAATTCATCAAATAGTTTCATAATTTTTCACATATTTTTCAAAATCAATTTGGGAAACATCAACACTAAATTTAGTAGTTTGGGTATGCTGGCATCGCAATAATGAGGCGCACTCGTACATAGCGGCCTCTCAAGGTAGCCAGAACAAACCAGCTAGCTTGAGTTTACCGATCGCTGATCTTTAAGATGTCCACATTGGTCATCGCACCAACGTTGCGCAAGCCCATCAAAAACATTGCCAACACTCAACATATATTGGGACTTTCAATTCAATTGAATGTCATTAGTAAGCGGAAGCGACCATTACATTAGTTCAACAAGATGAGTATTGAATCTGACCTCATATGCAACACACGTTGACCGATACGCCACAAGAACACAACATGAGAACCAGGATTCACAATTCTATCCAGTTCTACTAATAAAGGATTTGCTACATGGTTTATAAAAAGTCTGTCCGGAGGAGAGAATCGCCGTAATGGCTTTTTCACAATGAAAGACTTACCATTCGCAATGCTTTCAACCCTTTCTTCAAGAGTCTTATCCATGGCTTGATTCTCTGGAATCATCTTGGGAGCTGGTTCAAAGGCCACCAAGACCATGCTCATGTTGTCAGAGCTTCCCTAGAAAAGAAACAAAAAAATGAAAAAGTACTAGAAATGCTTGTTGAATGACTTCGTAAAATTAAATAAAAAAGGACATGAATTCCAAAAATCGATTACATTCAGAATGTCAGCATCAATTGTGAAGACAAATTGTAATCTACCTCGGAAACAATACGCTCAAACAAGTTATTAACCAATAAATGGAAAGGACAAAACCCTAAATTTCACTGACCATATTCACTTGCATGTTTTATTTGCTACGCATTAGAATAACTGCCTGTGATGGTTTAAGCCTGGATATCAGTATATCTAATGTGCCTTAAACCAAAGCAACAGCGTAGAGACGTGTCATACTACGGAGACAAGAATATAGGCAATAGTAATCATAAGCCCGTTGATTTCATTCTTTCCTTTTTTGGCTCTAAGTTGAATAATATTTTTAATCACCTTTAAATACCAATGTAAAAAGCGGGCTTCTTCGTGTCTCCTAGGCACACTTAGATATAATCAATGGAAGACACTGTTGATGAAAAATACCCTGAAAACTAGCTTCAAAGGCAATATGTAAAAACCAGTCAAACAGAATCTCAAAAATGGTCTCCAAAATCTAGAAAATGTGAGAGTGAAAACCCTAAATTTATGCAGATATTCTCGTGAGACAGGCTTCATAGCTCCTCGTATCTGCCCAATGGCAATTGAATTAACGAAATATAATTGAATAGAGGATAAGGCACGCAGATTAACATTACGGACACCATAAATCATCGCTAAATGGGCACTAACTGGGATTCGATCATCAAAAATGACGTTAAATTAGCAGCAAAGATGGATGTCCAGAAGGGCAAATTGAGACAGTGGCAACTTACACTATAAAGGCAGTAATCGATTACTTCATTGCAAATACGCGAGAGGTCATCCATACAGCCCATGCGTTCGCTAACCACAGAACAAAGGTAATCATTGCTCATTACATCCCAGACACCGTCACAAGCCAGCACAATCATCTGATCCTTCTCAAGATCACGGTTGATCACCGTTATCTCTGGCTCAGGGGAGACGAGTTGTTCGGTTGGACCAAGGTTGCTAACAGTCTTGTAGGAGTAATCACCCAAGGATCTAAAAGAGTTATTTGAAATATTGACAATTTACACGAAGCAGGATTATGTGTTTGAACTTGTTAAGGGCTCATTAAAATTTAACAAAGCTTTCTAACCATCCAGAATACTTGTGGTATCAAGTGGGAAACAATTTTGACAACAATAATGACGCAATCTCATGTTAAATCAAACAAAGTTCATTTAATGAGAAAAAAACAATAAAACTCCCTCAAGAAGAAGGAAATGGCCTCAACATGAGTAAAGAAGAATAGGATATTTTGTTAGACCTAAAACCTAACCCTAAACCTAAGTTTGAAACCAAACAGAGTTAATGCACTCCTAACCCATTACAAACAAAAAAGGACCATAAAGGGCTGGCAGTTCAGTTTCGCACTTAAGTCCAAAGGTGGGTATGCATACGATGGGAGACAAAATCGCGGCTCAGAGAAATCCATTAAGTGCATCGAATTCATATTTTGTGAATTAGCTTAAATTGGGAGGTGGCTGTTTCATTCGTAGTTGGATGCGAACGCCGAATGGAATATAGTGAGAGCATAAGTGAACACAAAAAGGCTAATTGAAGGTAGAAATTACAAAAGGCAGATCAATAAACAATATCTGGGAAGACATTATTAACGAAATAATAACGTCAAAAAATAGCGCGAATGTAGCTAAGTTTTAAATGAGTTGTAATCAACCCTTCCCCCCCCCCCCCCCCCCCCCACCGCAATGAACATGTTACCCGTACTTTCAAATTCGAAAACATCATGCCGAAAATTGATAAAGGAAGAATACCTTGAAACGGCGAGATTACCATTGACGCGATCAACAACAACTGATCCACCTGCTTTCTGAATACGTCTGCGCTCATTAGGATGGGTCGGTTTGTGATCAGTAGTAGCAAAACCTACGACACCATCACGAATCAGCACAGCACGGGAGTCACCACAATTGACAAAAAAGAGGTGTTTGGGTGTAATGAGGACACAAACGGCGGTTGAGCCCGATCGATCGAGTCCATTAACAATTTGAGGTAGTTTTCGCATATCCTCGTCTAGGGAAAGAAAACCCTCTCGAATACCCTCACGTATTTCTTCAATGCTAGGAGCCAATTCCGGGTCTATATTCTTGAACTCCTCGGTATCAACTATGCGCTAGAAAATTTATCGAGAGGAATAAGACACAAAGAAAGCCTCAATAAAGATAACAAGAAGGGAACTTGCATTAAGAAGTTCTGCGGCGCACTGTTCAGACACAAGAGCTCCCGCGTGGCCATCAAAAACTGCAAAAAATGACCAATCCTTCAGATGCCCAGGGAGTCTGGTTATAGCGCAATGAGCATCTTCCATTGAAGAACGCCACCCTTGCATGCTAGCCAAACCGTAACGTAAATTATTTCCTTCACCTGTCTCATTTATTTTATCAGTTACGGGAGTCGAAAGTAACGTCCCCATTTCTACAAAGTGAAAAAGAATACAAATGAGAGAAGGCGCACATAACCGAAATATATCAAATAAATTCGAAGATCCGAAAGAAATTTATACAGATATTGCTATCAGTTGAAAATAAGACAAACGGAAACTGAATAAAAATAATTAAAGGTAATACTCCACGCCATACCCACTAAAAGATGCGTGTGCTGCAATAAGTTGCCAGTAAAAATAAAACAAGCAGAACAAAAATCCTTACAAAACCAAACTGGCGCATATATTAAAACGGCAAATCAAGCTCATTAAAAACAGTAAAAATAATTTTATTCCAAATATATTATAAATTTTTTTATAAATTAATTTTAAAGAAATTGGAAGAAATTAGCTATATTTGTAAGTTAAAAAGTTTAACTTAATTAATTGGACAACGAGAAATTTAAAAATGTCGACTGCGCCTTCGCTTGATGGTCCTGGTCAGCTGCAAATAGCTAAAGAGGCGGCTCTGGCAAAAGTAGAAGATGCTAGAATAAGTAAATATTAAATCATGTGTTTTTCATAATTTGTAGGACGCCTTAATAAGATTTTAGAGGCTCAAAATGAGGGAGACATTTTCGCCCAACATTTTGAAGAAGAGCATGAAAAACATTACATCGAAGTGGAAAAGGAGGTGCGTTTATGCTTTTTTTATTTTCTGCAGTTTGCCTTAGAAGAGGCCAGATCTATGGAAAGATTTCATACCCTTTCCGAAAAGGGTGTAGAAAGAATCCAACAATTGTATGAAGAAAATAAGGAAAAGGCACTCGCTAATCTCATTGTTCAGGTCCTTAATATCAAGCCAACCGTTCACAGAAATGCAATGAATTTTCTCTGACCTATTGTTCTCACCGCAATATGTGCGACTTGATCTCATGCTTGTTAATCCATCCTCGTGCTCTCGACAATTGTGATATTTCCTTAATATACACCTTGTCTTGTTACACTCTCGTGGTATTGGTATGGCTGATTTGATGCGGGACTAATAACTATTGCTTGCTTAATGGGCCGGACTACAACCCGATTATCAGATCCCACTTGTAAAAAAAGAAGATATTACAATACAATAACGAACGTTAGGGGCGTTTAAAAACTAATAAATAATAAGTACAGAGGAGAGTTGTTAAATTCGAGGAATTTCTTTTTCGGCATATTTCTCCACCCATGGATGATGCATTATCGAATCTAAATCCAGGCGTCGAGCAGGGTTTAGAACAAGTATCTGTGATAATTGAAAACAGCATTATTTAATCAACTTCATTAAGAATGAATAATATCTAACCGTTGTAAGAATTAGCTACCTTCGAAATCAGATCACGAGCAAGTGGGGTGATTATGGAGGGGAATCTGTATTTAACTTCCTTTATTCGAGCATACGTTCCTTTTGTATTCTCGTGTATGAAGGGAGGATCACCGTATAGCATTTCATAACATAGAACGCCCACGGCCCAGTGGTCAACCCTTTCATTATGAGAGTAACCCAGAATCATTTCGGGTGGGAGATAATCCACCGTGCCGCACATTGTTTTGCGTCTGAAAAGGTAGTAAGCATCAACAACAACGACTTAATTTAAAAGAGACGTTTATTCGGATGCATACCGTAATGAAGGAGCGTGCACCGACCAGCCAAAGTCTGCGAGTTTAAGCTCATTATAGAACCCAATAAGTAAATTTTCAGGTTTAATATCACGATGAATGACATGTCGAGCGTGACAGTACTTAAGAGCATCGCATAACTGATATATGTACTAAAAGAATGCAAGGTTATCAAAGAAAAAAACTAACTGTTGCCGATTTTCGTTCACTAAAACGCTTTTCTCTTTGTAAATGTGTGTACATTTGTCCATAAAATGCATACTCCAGAACAAGATAGACCTTGTTACTGTCATGAAAATATGTGTACAGCTGAAGGATATGAGGATGCCTTAAATGACACATAATTTCAATCTCACGACGTAATTGGTGTTCCATGCCACCTTTAACAAGTTGCTTTTTAAAAATAATCTACAAAGAATATAAGAAATGGTAAGTTATATACCTTTAATGCACATATAAAATCATCCTTCTTGGTTCGCGCAAGGAAGACATTGCCAAATTTACCAGTTCCCAAAGGACGACCAATGTAAAAATCAGTAAGTTTGGATATTGGCAGCTCAGAATTACTAAAAATTAAATAATCCTCTCTAAAAAGTATTTACTCGTGTTCCAGATTAGTAGAATTTGCTTCTGATATCAGTTCCAAAGCCATAACCTTCAACCTAAAAGTTTCGTAAGGAGCTCCTTCTCATAATATTCGAATTAGAGACACAGTATAACTATCATATCTTTAAAGATATAACTCGTAAATATAAATAGGCTAATGAAAATTTCTTTAGATTGCTTTTTTCTTTTTTAACTCAGATAATCAATATTATGTAGACTAAGGAAAAATTTACCACTTTATTTCATAAACCTATGAAACGCAACCGATTTTAGTCAAAACCTTTGGTAAAATTTAAATTCTTTTAGGTTGATTTCTAAAATGAGCAGTTATGTCAATATTATTCAGTAACTGTTTTCGTTTACGCACCGGTAAAAACCTTGTTGGTCGTAAAAATGCGCTATTTGCATGCCATTAATGTATTTGCTTTGAATTCATAGCATAATAAAGCGATATTTTCCTATGGAAATATTCCTCATATGTGACATTCTTTCTGCTATAAGTTTGTATTCTTTTTATTTGCAGGAAGTTATTTTTATTGCGATTTTAAATAGTTCATAATACAAGTTGAATTTTGGAATCGAAAACGTAAGTTAAGGTCGATTTGTATTAAAATTTTCTAATTTTTTAATTGTAAAGTAGTTCCCAAGTTAAACTGAAATGCGACTGCATGGAATAGTTCATAAATAAATCAGATTCTTCCCATTATTTTCGATTTGCTAATCATCTTTCACTATTTCTAATTTATTTAGGAGTTCTCATAAAGATATGCCTTCGACATATTTTTCATATTGGCATTAATATGACATCAATGTTCAATACTATCCTCGTTAAGAAATTGATTTTTTAATGTCCATAGACCACATATGGCACTGTTAATCACCTAATGTTTCATTTCGAAATAAATTAACTTGTTCAATTAAGTTATTCTAAATTTTCTTACTTCAATTTTACTAATTCTACGCCTAGGTCAGTTCAAACGTAGAAGAAAATTTGGATTTTAAACGATAAAACAATGATCTAGATTTGCCAATGCAGTCCATTATTGTAAACTTTTGAGGTGAATTATTAGTTGTATTTCGCTCGAGTCTTTACAATATACTAAACTGGACAGTACATTGGTTCATTTGAATAGGTAGCTACCAGTCTATTTCGATTAATTTTTATAAAATAAACAATGTGTCTGTTTTGTGTCTTAATTCACTGTCGGAAAAGTATTTGAGTGCAAAATGGTTTCTTGTATTTTATGAAAATGTGATCAAAAACATTAGATTTCATGTTTATGCTAATTTGACTGACAAATTTCCTCTACATAAGAGCTTAAGAGCATAAGTTTGGATATAGTTTTTTACGGATCTATATTAGCTGCTGTATTTATCATCGTTGATATATGTATTTTAATTTCTAACAAATCAGCCATGATTTCCTTGCTAGACAGTTTCATTAATTAATCGGACTGTATATAAATTCAAATTATCTCTATCATGCTGCAGTTTCCTATAAGAACAAGCCTTCGCTGTATTCTCAGTAATCTCTTTGGCAAGATCACCTAACATTGGAGGGCTCCTAGTGTTACCTAGGCGATGTCAACAATGTGGAGGTAGCAGACATGGTGGAGAACATATTTATTTGGGTTTAATCTAAAAATATATTTTTGGCTACGCTAACCATGCCGTGAATACCGATTGTTGATTAGCTGAGAGGTCACTGTTCTCACGTTGCATATGCGCCTTAACATGTGGTCAGCAGCACGGCCTCGTTTGTCAACCTCGGAGAAGCAGTACGCTGCCCTTACCAGAATCTTCTAGCACCTAAGAGATTCTTGACTAATGAAATGTCAGGAAATGTTTTATATGATGTCTATTAATTCAATCATTAGGAGATTTAATTACATTTTTGTTGTCATAATAAATTTGATTGAGACTAGTAACTTTTCTGTATTATCCCAAATGGGCTTTGATAGCATTTCACATTCGTTTTGATTAAAGTACAAAATAAACCAAACTTTTACTGCCTATTGTGTTTATTGACCTATTTCGTGGTAAAATAAAGTAATATCTTGGCGGGTAAAAAATTAGTATGTCTAGTTTCTAGCATCACTCTCTTTAAGAATATTCAAAAGAAAATATATCACACTTCACTCAGTAAGTGAGTTACATAGGTATAATTTCAGCTAAGTAAACGGATTCGAAGTAAGTAAAGCAAAAGAAAAGTGTACAAAGTTCATTATACCCCATGTTGAAGCATAGATTGGGGTGCACAACGCTGTCATGGCTGAACAAAGAAATCTCGTGCGTATTCAGTCAGACTCGAAGGTACGGCCGCCTAGAGACCTCACAGCCAGCCACCAATCAATAGTTCCTTCATTTTATTAATAAACTCTTCATTGCATTATAATGACTAAGCTCCGTGTCAGTGACACAATTTCCAAATAAACTTATTACATGCCAAACCTCTGTTTCTTCTATATCTTTGAGGTAGCCAAACTAGCTCTGGGACCTTTACAAACAAGGAGACTTAGTTATAAAGATTACTGAACATGACGTGATCTGCTTAGCCGAGACACAATCTCTCTCTGGTACTGAAATTTCCTTTCTCTTCGCCCTCTAACAACCATCAGTAGTTCTTCAACTCGCTCCTTCTGGCTTCTCCCATGATCTCAAAATGTCTTCCGAAACTGATTTCAGTGTGAACACGATGTTTTCCCCTCCCTGTTACCCAACCTTTGACCCAACATACCCTCATACCCTCTGGAAATTATTTTAAAACTATGTAGGGTTACAAAACAGAAAATTCTATATCAGCAAGCTATCACTGCTCTACCATCCAGCGTCATTACGTTAGTCTTCGACATCATCGATGATGCACCAGAAGATAAACTTACCAAAGCTGTCATCTTTTTACCTACCTGTTTCACAGGAGAAACGTCTTCAACAGCTTCTCTCACTGGTCGATTTAGGCGTTGGTACTCCTTATCTGCTCCTTCCCCACATGCGATTCATCGCCATCGCAACCAATCTGGACTTTCAAATTTTGAGACAAATATATCAGCTACGGGGTGTGCGATAGACTTACCTCCACGTGGTGCACCCTGGGCAACGTATACTCATACGGCAAAAAAGTCTATAAATCGGCAGT